CAGCTTCCGTGAATGGAAGGAAGAGCAAGCTGTCCTGGAGTACTGTGGCTGTGAGTTGGAGAAGACCAACAGCGGTGGCCGCAAGCTTCATCAAACCAAGTACATGGAGAAGGTGAAGCCCATCAACTATGACAAGAAGCGCTCAGCGACCGACAGCCTGCATGAGCGCGAGGTCACCCAGTTGCGTGGCCTACTGGGTTCATTACAGTGGCCGGCAGTGCAGACTTCACCGCACCTGCAGTGCAGCACCTCCTTGATGGCTGCACATGTAAACCATGGCACTGTGAGCACTCTGGCTGAGTGCAACCGCTTGCTCAAGTTTGCCAAGGACAACAAGGACATTGGCCTGACCTACAACCATTTGGGTCCACTGAGCAAACTGCGCCTACTTTGTTTCTTTGATGCTGGTTTCTCCACCCGAGCTGATGGTTCCTCGCAAGGAGGCTACATCATGATGTTGGTGAATGAGGACCTGATGCATTCAGATGAGGAGGGTGAGTACCACATCATCGACTGGCGCTCGTTCCGCACGCCGCGGATTGCTCGCTCGTCCCTTGGGGCTGAGGCTCAATCTGGTGGACAGGCAAGCGATGCAGTTGATTTCGCATGCCGCTACTGGCATCATTTGCTGGAGCCTGCTATGTCCCTCAAGGACTTGCTTGGTGTGACTTCCACCTTGAAGCCGGTGATGATCACCGATGCGAAGGCTTTGTACGACAGCTTCCACCGCGAGGCTACAAGCTCTTCAGTGGTGGATAAGCGGGTCAGCTTGGAGATCCGTGTGATGAAGGAGCGCTTGCTTGAGTTGGGTGGCACCCTGAAATGGATGTCCTCTGATCGGCAAACCGCCGATGGGCTCACAAAGGATTCTGCAAGATCCTTGATGAGCAGCCGCTTGCGTCACCAGCGGCTCAAGCTGACGTGGGATCCCGAGTACAAGGCCATGAAGAAGAAGTCAAAAGCTGAAAGATCCCAGGCCTTGGCTGAAACGACCTCCGGCTTTGAGAACATAGAGAAGCATGGCATGCATGTTGCGCCAACCCCTGAAGAACATGAAGTACATGAACATGTGCATGAGCTTCCCCACGAGATCCCGGAGAGTGGCATGTCAGAGTATGTCAACTTTGTTTCCAACGAAGCCGCTCTTGTGTATGTCCTTGCCTCAAGCCATGTCGCTGGCCGCCAGCAGAATGTGAAGAAGGGTCGCATTTCGAATGTCATGGTTGGGGTACTATGGCTCCTGCTGCTGCAACATGCCCGAGCAGAAAACACCTGCTCGCCTGCCGATGAGAACACCCCTGAGCCTGATTGGTTTTTGTATGTGATGGCAGGACTCCTTTGCCTGGTCCTGCTGATGTTTTTTTGGATTGGTCGATTGACCAAGACTGCACCGGCGGCAAAGCCTGTGGTGGTTGCCCACGCCGAGACCCAGAAGGATGAAGCGATTGTGCCTTCGCGTCTCCGCGAGCTCCTCAAGGCTGAGCAGGATCGGAGTGCTCAGTTTCGAGCAGCCGCCACGGAGGCACAGAAGGGGATGGAGCTTGGAATGGAGGAGCGCAACCAGCTCTACCAGCTGCTGGGCGATGGCGCTCGTCTCCTGCGGAAGATGATGAACAAGATCGATGACCACATGGAAGTGTGCCCCGACCGGGTACCAGTGATGGCGTCCCGCCATGGAGAGTGCTGGCACTTCGACACGTGCCATTGCGCTGAAGCTGTGGTCGACCGAAACCGCATGAGGCTCCGATACTGCGCCTACTGCGCAGATCCCCACGGGCCGCTGGATAGGTTGAATTTTGAAATGGGTGGTTGCCTGAGAGACGAACTCCAGGCTTGGCTTGCCGACCATGCTGGCTTGTGGGCTGACGCTCACGCCTCATGAGTCCCTGTGGCAAAGCACCACCGGTGTGAAGTGCACGCTGTGCACTGTGTTTGAGACATGTTTTACCTGACCCCCACCGCAGGGTGGGCTCATGCTGCCAAAAGCTGGCTCGGTCCGTCGCGCGTTCGCGCGCTTGCTGTTTGTCGAGGGCGATCGCGGTTCTTGCTTTCGCTGTTCTCGCACCCACTTTGTGGACTTCGTGTACCACTAGTGTCTTCGCATTACTAATTAGTAGCTTCTTGTTCCTAGTAGTAAGGCCAGGAGCCCCTAGTAGCGTCCGATCGCTCCTAGTAGCGATGCCAGGAGCCCCTAGTAGCTTCTTGCTCCTAGTAGTAAGGGGAGTTTGCTTGTGTCTCGAGTTTTGGCTTGTTTCGTTTGCACATCCACGTTTCCACAGTTTACTTGCGGGTCTCTGTCACACCTCGCACTGTTCCCCCATTGCTCCGGGGTCAATCAGCAGCACGACTTCAAGCCGACCGCCCTGTGTCTATAGGTTCATGCATGAGCGAAGGCGCGCAATAGAGGATTTCCCTTGGAGCTACACTGACCCAGTCTTCTGAAAGTAGGAAGCCAAATTGACAAGAGATTGCTAGATCACATGATTTGGCCACAAATCACTTTCACTCAGAAATATCAGTATTCAAATTGCCTCGATGGTGGGGATCACTTGAATTACTATATTTCCAGGTTTTAAACTTGCAACACCTTGCCCCCCATGATCGCTTTATATGATCATTTGTAAAGCTGCCAGACGCTGCCCCTCTAGACCATAGGGCCTTCTCCCTTCCTACTCATGACGTTACTATGCCGACCCTGCACTTCTATTCCTGCCAGCTTTACTTGGATCAACGTCACCAATACCGGCAAAGGAGACTCAATGAGCCCGTTGTCTCGCCTATCTGTACCCGTAGCTTTGCATCCTTCCCATGTCTGACACAGTCGACATGAATCAGTCCCATCATGGGGCGAAAACAGGTGAAAAGGCCGCTGCGCGACATATGCCTGTGTGTTACACTGTGTGTTGCATTGCTATTACTAGTAATAGCTTTTTGTTACTAGTAGTAGTGGCCTCCAACCTAATAGCGATGGCCTCCACCTAGTAGCTTCTTGCTCCTAGTAGTAAGGCCAGGAGCCCCTAGTAGCGATGCCAGGAGCCCCTAGTAGCTTCTTGTTACTAATAGCTTCTTGTTACTACTAGTAAGGCACTTGTTCCTAGTAGCGATGCACTTGTTCCTAGTAGCTTCTTGTTACTAGTAGCTTCAGCTCTTTTCATGAAACTTCCTGAGACCTCGGAGCACACTTACTTCCCTCGCCGAGGTCGACAGACACTGGCTCCGGCGTCTCAAGGCCGACGAGGGCACGTGTCGTGGTTCAGTGGTCTGGTGCAGCGTCACGCAGCCATGCGATGCCCAAATCATGGCCATGCAGGTCTTGATAGCTCCATGGGCCAAGAAGGGCCAGACTGAATGACCCCTTTTTGGGTGGGGTGCTTTTTGCATAGGCACTGAATGACTTCCTTCATGCCCAGCATTTGGTGCCTTGTTCTGAAAGACTCACAGCCAAGGCTCCTCGGTCCTCAAGGTTTCATGTTGCAATGGTCCTGGAGGGTGTGCAACTGCAACGGCCAAGTGCGGCTAAAGGATCCTCCTTTGTCCATGCTCGCAGAAGAGAGATGCATGATGTGCAGATGTAGAGAGGCAGATGAATCCGTGCAACCCTAGTTGCCATGGCGGGTTCAGAAGTTGTGGTGCCGGAGTGGCTCGACAGCGTGTACCCCAATAGCAGGAGGCTCAGGTTTGACCTGATCAGATGATCAGATTCAGTACTTAGAGGTACAGTGGGTTGGACAATCTTTAAAGCATCAATGAGGCATGCGCATGCACATATTAGTTCGAGGGAGTTTTTAGGGATGTAGATGGAAAGTTGCCTCTCCTTCACATTTTGTTCTCTCTCTCTCTTCTCACTTGGTGAAACCAGGGGAGAGGCCTTGGCGATCATTGCAACGTTGCTCACTGCATGTGGGAAACGATGGAGCTGGCCTTCAAATGGAAGCCACAGAACTGGGTGACTTGGTTTGGGGCAAGAATCAGGTGGTGCAAAGCCCCGCAAGAATGACATCAGTGAGTAAGCACAAGTGCCTCTCTCAAAGAGTTGGCTTGAAACTACGCTGGAAGACTCCAGCTCAACACTTGGATCCGACAGCAAGTGCTTCTGTTCTTCATCTTTAAGCATTTTTGTGCATTCGAGGCTACTTGGTGGAAGCTGTGGAGAAGACGCCGGGCCAAGACCAAAGACTTCGCCCTGGAGTTTTGATCATCGAAATTGCCGGGACGCCTTTGCCACTTGGAGCGGTCTGTCAGTCTGCCAATTCCCTAGTAGCGATGCCCTTTTTTGTTCCTACTAGCTTCTTGCTCCTAGTAGTAAGGCCACGAGCCCCTGGTAGCGTCCTTGTTCCCAGTAGCTTTTTGTTACTTTCGTGCCGTGAGCACTCTGATTGTTCATGTTCGAGCGCCACTGAACATTCTGATGGTGATTCGAGTGTTGATGTACAGGTTGGCCTTGGACCCAGATAGCTTGGAAGAGGCCTTTGGCTCGAACTTTGCGGATGGAGCTGAATTGCTTGTTGTCGAAGCGGAGGACCTGCATGGTGTTGGGACGATAACAGCACAGTGTCATCCAGCCTGTTGTATATGTTAGCACCTACCAAGACATTGAATGATTCAAGCTCTGTTGACATGCTCAGTTGGCGTAGGAGTTGCGGCGTGCGACCATCGAAAGGGATTCCCAAGGTGTGTTCTCTATTTGAGTGATGTTCCGCGCGCACACACAATTTGCCCTGGTTTGCCGCACTGCAGATGTTGCAGGTGAGTGCCCCTGCAACGAGGCAGATGAGTTTCCAGAAGTTGTGGAGATAGAGCCACCGGAGGCCCTCACATTGCTTAGCATTTCCGGCTGTTTTTGACAGCTAACTCCGACCAGATTCAGGTGCACCAGATGTAGTTTCCATGCACGAAAGAAGGAATGACCGGTCTAAGGAAGGGTCCTAAGAATAGAACAACCATGACTTCATGAACACTGCTGTGATTGGAAGGCTGAAGTCCTAGAGCATGGCAGTGTGATGAACCTTCGCCTTTGCCCTGCCACCAAGCTCCGGGTGGCTCGGCGCCAGAGCAGAACATGAGTGAAATATAGTGAAATGTAGATGGAGAAGAAATGGATTCTGAAGAGGATGCATGGTGGCTTGGCCACTTGCAAACACCTTTTCGCAGGGTCTTTGTACGGATTGTGGATTTGAGGGTGTTCTTTTGTTTGGCAGTTGTTTGAGTGGGTTCCTTTGGCTTGTAGCTTCTGTGAATTTTAGTGGCTCTGCAGCTTTTGAACATTCCTTGACCTCTGCGGCATCGTGGACTTTGCATGTCGCGTTCTTTATTTTGCCCTGTGGCGCCAGCAGCATGAAGACACTTTGCTACTAGTAGCTTCTTGCTCCTAGTAGCGATGGCCTCCACCTAATAGCATCCTTGCTTCTGTGTTTGTTGGCTTTCAACTGGCTTTTGGTGGGGTTTGTGTCTTGAGTCGCTTGAGTCGCTTGCGCGGATGCCAGCTCCATGCCACATTGAAGTTTGGGCGTGCATTCCACGTTTGATTTCCACTTCGGGGGAAGCGCTCGCCACGCTTCCAGCAGCTTTTCATCTTACATTTGGCCACTACTCATGCGCATCATCAGTGCTGAAGTGTCTAAATTCGTTGGACGTGCCTGCTGAGGGCAGCTTCTTGGGCTTCAGGCTGCATTCACGTGCAAGTGGGAAGTAATTTATGTTGTTCAACTGCCAGCCCAGCTCGAGCTCCACTAAAAATTGTAAAGCACCTTTCCACAGCTCAATGGCCGGTGCTGATGGAAACCTGGAAAAAGGGGTTAGTTTCAATTGGCAACGTAGGAATTAAACAAGGACAAACTGAAAAACCACATGCGAGTCTCCACTCCTCCAAGGACCCAGTTGGAAGCCAATTCCCCATTTGAGACTCACCAGTTGCTTATTGCCCACAGCAGATCTGAAGAATCTGACCACTGTTGTGACAGCGTGGTAAACAAGTAAACACCTTAAGCTCAAAGCCTCCAAACATGTGGCACAACCGCCTTTATCAAATTGACATTCCAATGTTCAATATCACTCAGTCTGAAGCTTAAATTGTGCCACGCGCAGCGAATACACACATTATATAGATTCCTCAAGGATTGTGTGCACAGACGCATCATCACAGATCTAGAGCCACAACAACCGCCTCCCCAACAAGTACAGAATGACATATCCGAAAATTAAAAGAATGAAAGGACCCGCTTGTTGAAATCATGAAAGCTAGCGCTATGAGTTTACTCTGCTTCAGCAAGCCTGGGGAGGCCCAAGGCCAACCACAGTAACATTTCACTAGAACCCTTCGGTCCCCGGTTCAACCCCCCCTGATTGCCCAAAGTTGCCCCTAGTAGAAGGTGCCCCTAATTGAATATGAAAGTGATAAAAGTGTAGGCAAGTTTCCTTTACGCAAAGGTGCCTATAGCAAAAGCTGTCTCTAGCTGCACTAGCCCTGTGCGTACACAGGGCATCGATATCATAGATCATATCAAGCTGGCTGTTGCGGTTAAGCATCGTTGATTCTTTGCACCAGGAACATGCAGGGACGCACTTATGCAACCAATCACCCTAGCTTTGGTTTTACCGCCGCTGGCCTCGGCTGGCCTGAAGTTGACGTGTCACGAACATCAAGGGACAAGCGGCGTGCATTAGCATGACCTTGGAGGAAAGGAAAGCACAAAGGGAACAAAATGAAGCCATTAGGAGCAAGGACAGGGGCTCCTGGCATCAGGCCATTAGGGTCACACTATCTCTTGCCACAGGCCCGTAGAAGCCCGAAGCCAACTCGGAGGCAGGAGGTTGCCAGGTTTCTGGGTGGTGGACTGTAGACTTGTAGACGTCCAAAACCGGGCTCCTTTTGGTTTTGTTTGCTATTGCCTCTTGACTCCAAGGATCTATCGCCTGGCAAGCGCGGAAACCTGTCAGAGGACTTGGAACACTTTGCAGAACTCCACCAGTTGCGTGCAGAGTTGCATTGCCCAGAAGCCACCACGGCCTCGGCCAGGCACTGGGGGTTTGCGCGAATTGCGTTCGAGATAACCAACTTGACTTGGTCATGTTCGACATGGATTCGGGGTGCTCCTTCAATGGACGTCCTGAACTTGGTTCCCAGCTCTGGCCAGATTTCCTGCCACAGGGTAACTCCTTTCCTAATTCCATCTGGAGTAGGCAACAAACCTGGACAAGTGAATGCTGTGAAGGCTGACTCTGTGTGGGGCACCAGAAGATGTGGCAGTGGCCCAAGAGGAGGCACAAAAGATCATGAGGCGCTGGATTTGTTTAATTCATTTCAATCTTATGAATGGCCGGTGCTTCTTCCCCACCGCCTTTTTTTGTTCGTAGGTCTTTAGTTTTGGAACGCTTTCTTGCGAGGTTTTACGACCTCCTTCCGCTTGAAGAAGTTAAAGAAGCGGTCAGCACTGTAGAGGTCCAGCTCAAGCCTTGAAACACTTTCATGACAATGTAGTTATAAAAGCATTAATACATAATCATATAATTATCATATAATATACACATGCTATCTATAGTCTATAATTATGTATCTATGAATGTATCTATGTACCCACCTATCTTCTTTGAAGATGATGTGTGGTGGCTTTATACATGGTGGCTTTAACTT